ATTGTTAATGAATATTCCTCACTTGTGAGAAGAACAAAGTGAAAGAGTCTTTGTTATTGTTATTACTAATTATATTAATTAGTTTTAGAAAGCTTTACGCAAGTATAGAATCACTCTTTAAATCTCCTTTGTTATTTATTTATACTCCCTCTTCTCTTTAACCTTTACTCTCTCACAACTCTCCCATATTATTATTCCTTTTCAAGTAAACACAATTTCCATAGAAATTGGCATAGGTCTTAGATATCTCTTTTCTCTCTTAATATTTTCTTTATCAATTTATATCCTCTCCCAATCCAGGTTCTTGTTTGTAAGCTAATTTAACGATTAGTGAACAAACTTGTAACAATATGTTCAGTATTATTACTTGAGACATTTGACTGAGGATTATTTGGAGCTAAATGGTCAGAAAATTTATTGGCCGCCACCCGAGCATAATACCGCCTTTCCTTTTTTAATAATTTCAATGTAAAACAACCAGATGGTATGTACATATCAGAAGAGATTTGTAAAGGCTTACAATGATTGGTATAATGCTTGCATTTCTCTTTACTTTTTCGTTTTTAATCTGAATTATGCTCCTAATTTACCATCACAGAATTAATAAAAAACGTTACATCCGAAGACATCTCTACACTACTAGCGAAAAGAGGACAAACCGTTTCGCTAATTGAATCTTGATGCCTCTCTATTTAACACTTATATATTATTTCTCGAAAAGAAGGATTGGTATTCAACACGTGGAAATCATGCAAAATATCAATGTGGGATGAAGTCTATTGTGAAAATGCCTTTAGATTATAACGATACTGACAAGTAATACTAATATGTCATCACCATCAAAATTATAAGTTTTTTGACATGAGAGAGTATTAAATTTGTTTTTCAAAATTCTACACGTAAAGACGACGAAGCGGTGGAGATGGTGACAATGAAGAGCGTTCTCAAATTTGTATATAACCAAAGTATCCGGTATCAGTGATATTTAAGTAGCCTTTGTGACGTGATTGCTATGATGAGCTACATGTACTTCCTAAAAATATATTTAATTTATTTATAGACCCATTCTTTCTCAGTCCAATATACAATCAACCTCAAATAACTTTTGGTATGATTGGATAAGAGATACAGATTTTTTTGTTTTCAACATCACTACCTTTGAAAATTGGCGACCAACAATTCTTGCTTGTTCAGCATGTTATGTTATATTCAATGTATTTGAGGACATTGATATTATTATAATCGAGGTTATTGTTCGAAATTCCTCTTATTATTTTTCAAGACAGTAGATCAATCTAAATACTCTATTTAAACTTAATTACGCAGTGAGCTTTATAGCACAGTTAAGGTTCCGAACGGTTCTGTTTATATCCGGACCTTTCGATTCGGTTCTAGGGCGGTTCCGGTACGGCTATTACTTTTCGTAGAACAAATCTGAACGATTTGGCTCTATTTGTATTTAATTTCGTTCTATCTAAAAAAAATATTGAATAAGGTTTCAATTTGCTGAAAAATTACTTGCGAACCAAAAATCAGGTTCAGTTTCGAATAACTACAAATAAATGACTTTCATGAATATCCCACTTGACAATGACCATAACCAGAATTTGGAGGACGCAGGTATCGAACTATATGATAATATAGCAAAAAGACAAGAAGTCATGTATGATTACAGTTGGGATTCTGTGAAATGCAAGGCAAAATGCAACTATTATGATGGTGGCACCTCTAACTTTCACAAGCACTTAAAAAACAACGTCTGAATAAAATTATTAAGAAATAGAAAAGAATGAAGCAACACAACAATGGCTAATCACTCCCTATTTTTAATAATTTTTGGTTAGTCTTTACTAAACTGAATAAAATTTATTAGTTTGGAACCGAAACCGTGCAAAAAATTCGATTCGGTTCCAAAGTACTCTGGGAACCGAATCGAATTTTCGAGTTTGCATCGGTTCTACTCGAAAACCGAACCGAACCGAATTGTTCGGACCCTTAAGTTCAGCATTGCCATTCAGTAATAAACATACATCTGTTTATTTATTTGTTAATTTAATATTCTCATATATTTAGAGTTTCATTGTCATTAATTTTTTTGGAAGTTTAAAAAATTCGGTTTATCAAGTAAAATTTACTATAACTGTTCTTATCTTTATCAAGGTGGGTTTACTATAACTAGTCCAGTGTTAGGTATTATGCTCAGGAAATATTTTATTCCGCAAAATACAGCATTTGAATCTATATGTTGTGTCTCAGATGTCGATTTGCCTCAGGTATCGATCAGTCCAAATTAGAATAGGTGTTCTACTAGAGTTGGGGTTAGGGTTAAGATTAGTGTTGGTGAAATAGATTAATGTTGGCCGAGAGTGATCACGTGTATTGACACCTGAGTTAAAACGACATCTGAGGCGCAAAATATATACCGTTTTTATAAAATAGAATAAAAACAAAAAAATTAGAAATAATTCCCTGTTAAACTGACATAAACCGAAGTTAGTTCAGGAACAATTATAGCAAACCTGCCTTGATAAATCGAATTTACTAAATAAACTGGATTTTTTTAAAAAAATAGAGTTATACCCAGTATTATTTGATAATACTGCAAATACTGAATAGTGATAGTATAGAATTAATGAATTGTCTAATATGAATTATAGTATTTTTATGTGTTTGTCCACTAGTTGGTAAATTAGCTTACAAATATAAACAATAAGATAAAAGAATAATAAGAGATAGAGTATCTAAGTATATCAATTTTTACTGGAATTGTCTATAATTTAAATATAAATAAAAAGAGATAGTTTTTAAGAATTAAAAATTTTTGTGACAAAGACATAAAAGAATTTTACAATAAATAAATAATAATTTATAAAGAGTAAAAGCTGATTCAAAAAAATGAAAATTAATTTAGAAAAGTGAAAAGCAATTTGAAAAAGCAAAAAAGATAAATATATTAAATCTATTACTTTAATATTTTTATACTAATATATATTATTATAGTGCTATTAAAATATAATATAATTAATAATAACAGAAAATTTTTTCTTTTACTAGGAAGAAATATTGAAAATTAATCAAAATAAAATATATGTTAAACAAAATACTTATTTCAATTTTCAAATTAAAAAATAAGTATTAAAAGATTTTTTTTATGATATATTATTTATTTTATATTTTTGACTAAATACAAGTTTATAAAAAATGCAATAAAGTTAAAAAATATAAATATAATAATAAATATATATTTGAATTATTTGTAAAAATTTTATATTTTCATCTATTTTCTAAATTTTCAATATTTTAAAACTTAACAAAATTATTATTATTATTATATTTATTTTTTATTAAAAAATTTGCTTAATAAATTTTTAATTCTTTTTTATTATAAATTTTCATTAAATTTAATTTTATTACTTTGATATTTTTATTTATTTATATATTAAATATTATATTATAAAATTTAAATAATAAAATAAAATAAAAATAAAATTTAATATAAAAATATAATAAAAATATGAAAAAATAATATAATTATTTTATAATAAAATATTATTTTTTTTGTTATTAAATAATATTAACTATTTTATATTTATTTAAGAGTTTATATTACTAATAAAAAAAATTTACAAATATATAAATATATTATTTAAATTTTTATAAAATTTTTTATTTTTTGTCAATTTTTTTTGCCATAAAAAATTTCTTCTCTTTAAAGTATTTATATAATTATTAATAAATTATTTTATTTGTATTATAAAAATTTTTTTCAGATAACACCAAATTTAGTTATTAGTTTATATTAATATTTTTATATATAAATATAATATAATTCTATATTTAAATTTTTAATTATACCAAAAATTTATAAATTATAACTTAATTAAATAATTTGTAAACAAATAAAATATTATAATTCAATTTTATTAAATTAATTTAATAAAATTTTATAATTAAATTAAAATAAACAAATAATTAAGATAATAAATTATAACAAAATAAAATAAAATTAAAAATAATTTAAATAAAATTAAATTAAAACTAAATAAAACTAAATTAAATTAATCTTTTAATTATTTATTAACTTTTAAAAGATTTTATTATTAAAAAAACTTCTTTTTGTATTATTAGAGAATTTAATATTAATTATAAAACTTAACTAATTAATTTAAGTTAAAATAAATATTTTTATAAATAAATAATAAATATTTAAATTTTCAAATGAAATAAATATTTAAAGTAATTATTTATATATATCTATTAAAATAATTATTTAAATATTTATTAATAAATTAATTCAACAAAATCTTAATAATAAAATTATCTAAAAAAATATAATTATTTAATAAAAATTAAATAGTAAAATCTAATTAATAATAATATTATTAACAAATAATTATAAAAATTATTTTTAAATACTTATAATATATAATTTTTATAAAATATTTATTATTTTTAATTTTTAATACTTAAAATTATTCAAAATTTAATATTTATTATTGATTTAATTAATAAACTTAAATATTTCAATTTTAAAATTATTTTAATTATTTATAAAAATATTTTTTTAATATTTCAAATAATTAATTATTTAAGTTATTATTTCTTAAATTATCTGGTTTAACAAACAAACTAAAATATTATAAATTTATATCTAAATATATTTTTACTAAATATACAAATATTTAAACAAGTTATTGAATATTAGTTTAAATTATATATTATATAATTATTTTTATTTTTTAAAAAATTATAGTTATTAATAAATAATTTTAAAAATTTTATTAGTCTTAAATTATTCTTTATTCAAATATTTATTATAATATTTTGTTTTTAGAGTGTTTTAATTATACTTTTTGCTAATATTATAAATATACTTATAGCAAAATTATAAAAAAGTTAAATAACTCTTATAGATATACAAATATCTTATTATAAAAAAATTTATATTAAGATTTTGCAATATTTTATAATAAAATTATAGAATTAATTATAAAATAAATTAAATATTTGGAGCAATTTATAAATAAAATTTATAAATATTAGTTTAAATTAATTTAAAATAGACTATATTTTTATTTTAGTTTAAAAAAAATAAAATAAATTTACAAAAATTAGATATAAATATACAAAATTAGTTAAAATAAATTTTAGCTAATAAATTTATCGATTGGATAATTTAAAAGATATTATTATATTTTAATTTAAAATATTTGGTTATTTATTAAAAATTCTAAATATTTACAAAAATTTAATATAAATAAATATTATTATTAATTATTATTTTAAATTATTATATTATTATATTAAAGTTAATAAAGAAATAAATCTTTTAGAATTATATTAAAAAATTTTTATTTATAAAAATATTCTTTTAAATTAATTAAATATAATAAACAAATAAAATTATAAAAAAAATTTATTTATAATAAAAAAAGTAATTATAATAAATAATTTTTAAATAGTTTATAAATTTATTATTATTTCAAATTCAAATAAAGTTTGTTATTTATATAATAATTTTAATTAACTATTTTTGTTAATTATATAATTTATATATTCTATTTTTATAGATTTTATAATTATAATATTAATATTATATTATTAAAATTTAAATTTATTAAATTTAACTTATTATTATAATTTTGTTTTATTATATTATTTTTAATATTAAATCAAAATTCAAATATTATTTTTATTTTGCAAATATAAATTTTTATTAAATCTAATTAATCATACTAAATTATAAATAAAATTATAAATAAAGATATAAAACTTAAATTAAGTATAAATAAAAGTATAAAATTATAAATTAAGTTATAAAAAAAATATAAATAAAAATTAAAGTTATAAAAAAATTATAATAATATTTAATAATTTAATTTTTTTATTTTTTTATTATTTTTGAAATTTTTTTGTTTTTTTAAATTTGTAATTTTTCATAATTAAAGAAATTCTTATTATTTTTATAATAATAATCTATTATAAAATATATAGTGATAATTAAAAAAAATGTAGTAATATCAAAATTTATTAATTAAATATAATAAAATATGAATTATTCTCTTTATATAAAAGTTCTTAATTTTACTAATAAATATTTTTTATTTTTATAAAGCAAAAAATTTATATTTTACTATATTTAATTAATAAATTTTGATATTGTTGCATTATTACTACAAATATATTTATTTTAAAATTAAATTTCTTATAATAAAATATTTTTGTTATATAAATTTATAATTAGAGAATAAAAATAATAATATTTTTTATTTGTTAAAGATATTATATTTTTTATTTATAAAAAAATTAAATAAAAGAGCTTTTGTTACTTTAATAATACTAATTATTTTTTTGGCTTAAAAATACAACTTATTTTTTATTGTTTATATTTTTTATATTTTTTCTCTTTTTTAACTTTATTCTTTTATTTTTTTCAAAGTATAATAATTTTAATAAAAATTAATATAAAATTTAGATATTTTTTTATTATTATTATTTGTTTTATTTATTTAATTTTCTCTTTTAATTTTATATGCTAATTTTATAATTAATAAATAGTATATAATAATAATATAATATAAAATAAATTATTATTATTATAAAAAATAATTTTTTATATATTAAATTTTATATAAAATAATTATAAATATTTATAATTAATAATTAATAATTTTATTTTATTTATTATATTTGATAATAATTATTTGCAATAAATATTTATTTAATTCAATTTTTATGTATTTATGCATTTATTATATAGTATTATATATTAATAATTCTTAAAATTATAGTATTTAATTGATTAAAAATTATAAATATCAAAATTATACTAATTTAATTAGTATTATAACTTGATTATTCTATTATATTTATAATTTAATTTGTTAATTTGTTATTTGCTATTTATATTTTAAAAATTATTATAATAAAAAATTATAAAAGTTAATATAATTTAAATTTATATTTGAAAAAATTATTTATTAATATAAATATTCAAAAATATTATAATTAAATCAAGAAATAGAATTTATTACTCATAATAAAAGTATTTACTGATACATTAAAATATTATATAAATATTTATTATTATATTATTTATAAATAAATAGAATTATTAATAAATTAAATTATAATATAGTTTAAAATAATATATTTATATATATTATTAAAGTAAAATAATTATAGTTAATAAAAAAATTTTATAATATTTAGATAAATTTACTTGTATTTGTTCTAATAAATTGAAAAAATATATTATATAATAAATATTTATTCTTAATAATAAATAATAAACTAATAATAATAATAATAATAATAATAAAGCTTGCAATTATAATAATATTATCTTATATCAAATACTTGAATTATCTAATTTTTATAAAGTATATGTGTGTGTGTGTGTATGATAAAGTGAATGTAAGTGTGATAGTACAATGTAATCAAAATATAAAATAAATGAAACTATAATTAATACATCATTTTAGTTATTAAAAGCTAAGAATTTAATATTAATAATAATATGTTTTAATTTAAAAGGAACTAAAACAAAGCTAATTAACTAGTATTTGTTAAAAAAAAGAGATTTAAGAGCTTTATTGTAAGCTTGTTAATATGATGTTTAACTGGTTAATAGATGCAAAAACTAATTTCACACTGTGATTTGATTCGTTGTTTTTCACAATTGTCATTTTCTCACACTAAATTTGATTGGTTAGAAATCTCGCACCTTACGTATATATAATTAAACAACGTCACATGCAAAACAACTTCCTCTATCGCTATGCATTAAAAAATAATTCTTTCTTGTTTTGCTGGCAAGAAACCTCTTTTATTAAAATGTATAAATATAATTAATCAAGCTTTTAAAAAAATTATTCATTATTAAAACGCTATCTGAAAAATTTAAAAATGTCAATTGACTGCACTTAAAAATCAAAGAAATTTGCTTTCAAAAACAACAAACCCCTACATCCAAAAATTGTAAACTTGCCTTTGAGTTCAAATGTAGTGAAACCATAATTTCTGATATTTTAAAACAAGCTGACAAATGGTTGGCTATTAGACCCAATTCCAAAAATACAAATACTATATGGATACAAAACTTTGACCAATCATCAAGATTTAACAGATAAAATTATCAAAATGAAGGCCAAAACATTTTACAACATCTCTTCAAATCAATGACTTTATGGCATCAAATGGTTGGCTAAATTGATTAAAGTACGACATCTTCAATATATGAAGCAAGGTGAGGCTGTCAGCATTCCAACAGCAGAAGCCTTGGCTGAAGATAAACGTAAACTCCAAGAAATTCTTCAATCATATCATCGAGAGGATATTTTTAATGCTAACGAAATAGGACTCTTCTATAAAATGGTATCCAACAAGACTCTTGCACAAGGACCTGTATCCTGCACCAAAAAAGACATAACACGCATAACAATTCTTTGCTGTTGTAATGCGACTGGAACTGAAAGACTTCCTTTACTTTTTATCCATCATTTTAAAACTTCATATCCCATGAGACACAGGATTGTTTTCACCTGGGCAAAATTCGATGCAAAGGTATGGGTAATATCATGGATTTTACACTGATGAATTCAATATAGGTTAATTTTTTCAAAAAGTTGCAATTCCATATTTTTGCCTGGACAACAGCAACTTGCATCACCATCTTTACCTCCACGTATAATATTTTCTATGGCAATTACCATTTTTTCAGAATCTCTTAGCTTTTTTTTATAAAGAATGAGATGTAATTTGGGTATCCGCCACTTATATCAACATTGTGAGAAAGATTGGGAATGCAATTCAACGTGTCAAAATAGAACGATGACATCAAATGTCTTTGGATAGGTTTTAATACCCTGAGTAACTAAATTACTTTATTAAAATGCTTATATTGCGAGGAAGTATTGGTATTCAATATAAAAGGCAAGAGAAGTTAAAATTTTGCGCGTAAATATAACGATAATGCTATTGTTGGCGACATTAGTAAAATGCATCGACTAAGAGCGGGAATTAGAGGGTTAGGGCGGAATCGAGAAATTATGCTTAGGATTTACGAGATTAGTGGTAACGATCACAGAACGTAGATTAAGAATGGGGTTTATCGTATTAACGTTAATTTTATTATCTCGATATCCTTCTTCCTTTTTATACTTTATTTTCTTTGTCGTCGCCAATCTCGCTGTCATGGCGCCGGAACCTTGCTACACCGGCCAAAAATGCCAATCCAATGTAGCCGTTGTAAAGGACTTTGACTGCATTGTAATAATTTTTTAATAAATTATTAAAATTAACATTAGAAATTTCACAACAGAAGATTAAAATTTTTCTTGATTTTTATCGCTTTTATTTGTGCGATGTTTATTAGTATTCTCTCGACTTAGCATTTTAGCGATACTTTGAAATTTGATTGCCGATTCACCGCCCTGACTGTAATTCAAGTCTAGTTCTATTTTCTAAATAGAAATTCAATTTGTTCATGCTGTTTACCGATTGATGTTAGTTTATTCACGTTCTGCCCTTATATTTCTATTACTATTAGCACTACGTATTTTACAAAACCCTCACCAACACCAAAAATAGCATTATTTATAAAAAGGGTTGTCGCTGAAACGACAGCATTAATTAGAGCTTGAACCGGTTTTTATTTTTAATATCTAAAACCCTTTTTTAAACAATTAAACCAGTCCAGTTCTAAACACTAATTGATATTTTCTAGTGGAGTCGATGGTGACTTGAGAGCTTGCATAAAATTTACCCAAAGGTAACTACTATACTTCTTGAAAACTCTGTTAAACATCAACTCATACCGATACATCTAAAAGAAACGGGTATTTCTTTTCATCCGATTTCTATGGCTATCCAAGTCGGGAAATGTCTGAAATAATAATCATCTTTTCTATCGGACATCACGAGCAGACCGACAAGTCAATAAAAAATAATTCTTGTCTCGTTTTGGGATATAACGAGAAATTTTCTAGAATACACATGTATGTACTCGTAATTCTAGATTCATGTAGATCCACATGTAAATCTCCCGACCAATCGGGAATTTAAAGAAATTCAAAATCACCCCACTCAAAGTAAAAATAATCGAATGATGAAATTTCTCGGGAATTTTCTGGAGATTTTATGTGAATGATTGGCATTGATCAAATTTTTCTATAAATACTTGAGCTATTTGTTCGTCTACACTCCAATAAAAATAACAGTAAAAAAGCATAACAACTATCAAACAAAAAATACTAAATCTCTTAAACAAACCATCAAATAATACAACCTATAGTAACCAATAAAAATGGCATTATTTTATCACGATCCTGAACTTCGACAATTTGAAAACCAAATCTCCAATGTATTTACAAATTTCTTTACAGATCTGAATACAGCAAAACGTGGCGGAAGTGTTCGTACTGGTACTCGTAGCGCGAATAACTGTTCTTGGGCTCCAGCTCTTGATGTCTACGAAACGGATAAAGAGTTTGTAGTGAACGCTGAGTTAGCTGTAAGTTTTCGTATACATCAATAATGTGTGTCTATTATAAATTTCTATTCATCATACTAAATCAATATATTTTAACTATTAATAGGGTGTTCCAAAAGAAAACGTAAACGTTGATGTACGCGATAACATACTCCACATCTCTGGCGAAACAAAACAAGATCAAAAATACAAAGAAAGTAATGCGCATATTCAAGAACGTCGCTACGGCAGTTATTCGCGTAGTATTCGTTTGCCATCATATGTTAAGTCCGACGAGATAGTTGCGAAATGCGATCATGGAATATTGGAAGTGAAGATTCCGAAAAGGGAGAGTGCTGCTGCTCCAAAGAAAATTACTGTTCAATAGCTTATTAGTATATAACAAATATCTACTAGTTTAAACTTTATAAATATGTATTTAACAGAAGCTTATAATTTTAAGAAATTATTGTAGTTGTTGCATAACGATAAATACATTGGTAAATCTTAAAAACATAACATCCGTAGGAAAAGGTTTACGATTAACCTTAAACAACCATGCCAATCAAAAAACAGATTTCAAAATATTTTACATTAAACTTTTACATTAAAATAACAAATACGCCCAAATACACGACAACAATTCACTTTTTTTCCTATCTATAAAATGTGTATCTATGCAAACTTGCACTATCAGTTTTAATCGTGCTTTACTCATGACGTTCAATGGCACGATACTCGCGGTGAATTCTCCGAAAAGATCAAATAGCTGCAAATCAAGCTTACCACGATCAGTGGACTAAAAAATCATGAAAGATGCGACCATATGAGTTATTGTGTTTATGAATTTGCTGGCTGTGAGTTATATATAAATCTTTCAAATTTGAAATATTTTATTGTATTACATGTAATACGTACGTAATTGTTTGGCTGCATATGTTCATCTTCGCAAATATGATAATTACTAGGAGATATATAAATTAAATATAACTGGCTTCATTTATTATCCTTCCACTAAAGTGATTAATCTAATATTCGTTCTCGAAGGTTTGAAGTTGAAATTTTGGATAGTATTAATAAATGTTGGGTGATTTTTAGGGCTTACGCTTTATCTTATGTATTTTGGCAAAATAAAGTGTCTTTTTGTAAATCTCTCAATTTTTTTAAATTCAGTGTATTTTTCTGAGAACCACAAATATATAATTATATGTATTTATAGTTAAAAGTTTTAGCTTTCTCAAACTGAAAATTTAGGGGTGTACCTATTTCACCGACATGCTGTTTCGTCAACACCAAATCACCGACAACCTATTTCACCAACAATCGATTTCATGGACTATACTGCATTGGAAAAGGGTTAGGGTATCCCTTGTAGTAAGTGTCGGTGAAATGAAATAGATCGTCGATGAAATATGGTGAGTTTTTTTGAGCCTGCGAATTTTTCTCAAAAATTTTTGGTTTAAATTCTGAATTTGTCGTTACGCTCAAAATTTACATTGAGAAATTAATGATGGGATTTCTCAAGATACTTTATTCTAAAATCATAACGTTTATGCTTATGTTACCCAAAAAACTATCGATATTTACGATTATTTTGATCAATCTTAATTAATGTTTCGGGTGAACTATCTGACAATCTCTGAAAGCTTCAAACTGTCGCGTTATTTCCATGAACTATTGCTAAAAAAAAATGATCGTTTTAAAGATTTGTGTTTATTTCAATTTGGTCAGTAACCATATCATCGACTCTTGTTTCGCGGTTGTAAGGAGCCTCGCCAGACTATCACAATTCGCAAGCAAAAATGTGTGAATAACCTCAAGTTCTATCCTCGTATCATTCAACCCGCGCTGTCACAAGTGATGACTCTCTGCACCCTCGCCACAATAATTTAGCCTCTTCATGAGCATCGTAAGAGGCACAACTGGCAGGCAGGACGGGTCAATAATGATTCCAAACTTATGTGGGATCAACATCAACAAAAGTGGACATTCATTTGGATTTATGAGAAGAGCATATTAACTTCCCACGAGAACCAAGTGGGAGGTCTTCACGTCTGTTCTCTAGATCCAGGTGTCTGCACATTTATAACTTGGTGAGTAATGGTCAAACCTTGACTTCATACCATTTGAAAAATAACTAATTGACATTCATTTGTTTTTTAGGTATTCACCCACGCATGGCTCTGGCTACATTAGTAATGGTGATGCTCAAAGACTTGTACGCCTTTATTTCAATCTCGATAACCTTGTTTCCTAGACAACCCAAGCTTCTGCTCGAAAACGGAATTCTATGCGCCGGGCCCAAGCGCGCATTTGACGACGTATTCGCAATCTCATTGACGAATGCCATCATAAGACCGCATTGTGGCTCGTACATATCGTTGATGTAATTGTCATCCCGGCTTTTAATGTCTCGTCGACGGCATCGTCAGATAAACAGCAAGATTGTACATAAAATGATGACTTGGGCACATGGACAGTTTCGCCAAAGGCTGATTTCAAAGGCCCAAGAGCTTATTAAGGAGGTTGTGGCGGTTAATGAGGCATATACGAGCAAGATATGCAGCAATTGTGGGTGGATACATCAGAGGTTAGGGGACGAAAGATATTTAGATGTGGAGGGTGCGGATTGGAGATGAATAGAACTATCAATTACGCCCGAGGGGGTTTGTCTATTAATGGGCAACGCTGTCTATTATTGTCTGGTTGAAGCCATCCGATCTACAATACATAGCATACTAATTCGAAAAAGTATCGGGAGGTAGGCCAGCATATTATTACTTTACAGTCACCAGCGAAAGTGAGATTGTTATATTAATTTTACTAAAATTTTTTATAGAAGAAAATAATAGTGCTAGGTTTCTAGCAAGATAATAACAATTAAAAAAAATAGAAATGTGAGGAATTTACGAAATACTAATAGTTTTTTTTTAAAAGTTAAAAACGTTAAAGTTACAAAATTATATTCGAACTTACCATAACTCCAATAAATTTTTTTAATTTTATTATACAATTGAATGAATAAACTGGCCGCATTATTTTCGCCGGGGACTCTACTCTTCTCGAAAAAACGAATCTTGTTTATATCAGGACACAACCTCTTTTTTGAGAGAACTTCTATATACAGTATCAACAATTATGGGTATTGTGGGTTCACTAACATGCATGTTATGTTTGTCTTCTTTGATTCTCGTCTGTTCTGTAAGGATGCCTTTGGAACATATAACTAGTACATACAGTATATGTAAAAAAAAAATAGAAAGCCGTTTAAACAGTGTATATAACAATAGGGTAATAATTATTTGTGCTAATTGTATTTGTAGTTATATTTGTGGATGCAGCGAAGCAGCGGTAGTTACTCTACTACCACAATAACATAATATAGCGATAGTAGTACGTGAAGATGATACAATTGAAATAGTAGTTTAATACACACCACTCCCCAGTGGGCATTAACTTCTTACTACGAAAGTTAATCCTAAAGATCTTTTAAATATAGAAAATGAGCGATTGAAGTTTTGATCACCATTTCACTTGCTCAAATATTTCTATAAAAAAATTTATTCGAAAAAAAGAATGTCTCTTGAATGTTTTGTATATATCTATCTAATAAATTAATTCTACCAATCATCTTCTCTCTAAAGGTAACTACAATCTCTAAAGAAAACAACCTCATTCCCCGGAAAATGTTCAGATTTTGCAAAATCACATCGATCAAACTCTATCCTCCGAAACTTTGCGTTTGTGCTCTTCGGGTCAAGCAACGGTAACAACAACTCGTTAACCAGAATTCTTCTACACTGGATGAATTTGAGCATCGTTAGATGGGGAAAATCGACGAGGATATTCAACGATGGGTTTTTGTCGAAATCTGCATTAATGAATATTATTTTCTCCAGTGTGTCAGTGATGTTAACGAGACGACGGAAAAATTCTAACGAGTTGAAGGGTGAGTCTATTATCCTGATTTCGCGGAGGTTGTCCATCTTTTTGAGCAGTCGTGGTAAAAATTCGGAATGTCGAGTTGATCGAAATATGCGGAAATTCAATTCCAAAGATGCCTAAAAAAGGAAGAAAACAAATGAGTATGCTATAGCAGCATTTGAGTTCTGAATCATTATTGACATACGATGTTTGATGGTAAGAATTCAAGCCACACAGGACAATCCTCCAACCTTGGGAAATCTTCAACTTTCAAATTACATTTTTTTATTCTCGAAATCCAACTCCAAAGTTTTTCCGTTGATGGCAAGTCAATGACATTATGAAAATTCATTCCATTAGAAATCGTCCCCGTTAATTCACATATGCTCGATCCTTCTTTGTTCAAGAGTTCCAGTATTACCCAGAGGACCAGTGTAGCATTTTTGTAGTAGAGATCGCCTTGATATCTCACTCGCCACTCAACTGCCACCTTAATTCTCAGACTATCAAAATTAATATGCTTTGCAAACGAAGCATAATTAAAGGCCGGTTTTTTGTACTGTGTCGTCGTCGTCGTCGTCGTCTTTAATGAGTTTGTTGTGACGAGGGACGTCGTTGATTGTTTAGCAGCTTGTAATTCTGAATTTTGATACTTTTTTCTGAAAAATGATCTCTTGCGTTTTGGCGCCGTCGGTTTGAGAGTGAGTAAAACGCGATCCGCTTCCGGAACACAATCCAAGTAAGTCGTAATGATTTTCCACGACGCTTTCGACGAGTAGTAATTAAAGAATGGGTAACTCCATAGGATCGGAATCGCTACTTGACACCATTGCCGATTTACTTGTATGATTGAATATAGATCTTGGGTTGAACTATTTTCCGAGTCTGGAATTATACCAAAATTTTGGAATATCTCCTGGAGAATCTCGGTTGGTAAGTCAAGTGATTTTTGTTGTTGTTGTTGTTGTTGTTGACGATTATGATGGTGATGATTGTGATTGTAGAAATGAGAATGTTTCAGGTTACTTAATTTGATTTGACTTCTGTTTATGTTTATACTTATATTACTACTATTTTTTCTACTATTTTTGCCGATGTTACTTTTATTACTATTTTTATTATTGACCTGTTTGAGTTTACTCTGAAAAATGCCCATCTTAAAGAAAATGTTTATTATTATTTATTATCATTATATTTAAACTATTAATACATGTATAAAACAAATTAAATAACGAGATTGATTCTGTTGTGCGAACAACTAACAAGTACAACTCGATTGATATACTATATGCTATGGTAACGCCAAGGTAACAAATACGTATGACTTGTGACACAAGAAACATTCATACATCATTCAAATGGACACAAGTGATACGTGTGAAAATATAATGATTGGTGTAAAAAGACGTGTACAAGTAATTAAAATTGATCACCAATCGTATATGAAGAGAATTGAACGTCACAATCTGACGATGATTTCAACATCATTTTCGGCTCCAGAAATGATAAAAACGTCAAATCCAGTGGCTTTACGAAAAATAGTATTTCCGATGACGCAACAACCACACAGTCAGAAAAGCGTAATTCAGCCAATTGTCCGAGGATTTTCCAGTCGGTAATTTCAGCAAGTTTCTCGTTTGGAATCCCGCATGAATCAAATCGAATTTTGGAAAGTGTTGCGTGTCCAAGCCGTAGAAAATCAAAAATATATTCGATTCCTTGATGCACTCCAAAAACCTCAAGTTCTTGAAGTTTTCTTTGACTATTGATGAGTTTAACGACGCCGCACCAGAATCCGAGAGATCTTACTGTTCCTTGGGATCCATTTAAATGAACAGCTTCGGAAATTTGTATTTTTTCGATTTTTTGGTGTCGTTGTGAAATCTGTTCGAACCATGAGCTAATATCTGCCATTGAACGTACGGCGATGTCATAATACATTATTGACACTTTTCTGATCTTTATCGAATATCGAAAGACTTGTCTCAGTATATAAAAACTTAAAAATTTCGGATCTGTTCTTCGTCGAGGTACCGAAGAAGATTGAAAATAAGCTAAAAGGGCTCGCACAATGTCATCATGATCAAACACTTGCATAAAAGATATATAGCTAGCGTATGGTTCTCTCTCAATTCGCGGAATCGCGAAACCGCAGGATTCTATCATTGCCACATCATTTTTCGAAAGTCCATCAAAAAAAATTTTGAAAAATTCAGTCATTTTCGATCGATTAGATTTTTTCCATTGCTCTACTATTCCAAATGGATCTCGCCATAGAATTGGAATTGTCGCATCGCAGAATTCATTATTTACAAACAATAGATTGTATAGTGTCGTGCTGTCTTTTGCAAAGTATTCAAGAATGTCCGGCAGAATTTCAATTGGGAACGTGAAAGTGGATTGGTTGTGGTTACTTTCTAGATTCTGCTTTTTTTCGGGTGAGTTTTTCGTCATATCGTAATCTTTCGTTGGCATTTTTCCTATAGTTAGTTGTTTTTATAATAATTGCGTGCAGTGAGAACCAAATTGGTGTGTAAGCTATCTTATTATGGTGATTCCGCAATTTATTATAAAAGGAGGACGTGGAATTGATCGACTTGATTGCTTTAATTGGAAACTTTAATGTATTTATGTATCACGACGGACACATTATCCAGAATTTGTTTGTTTGCTTCTTTGTTTGTCTTATTATGTTTATCTTTAATATTAAAAAACCATACACCAGAAGGATGATCCTCCGATAAGCTAATAGTATTTGTTGACAGTCAGTTCCCTTACCGTTTTTTTTTTGAAATTCGGGAAGAATAGAACTCGGGATCTTTTTTGATTTCACGGCATAAATGAAAAAGAATTTTCCAGGTTTAATGAATAGTAACGGTAACATGTGCTCAAATTGCCCGAAAAAAATTACGCAGTCTCATTATTTCGCAATCGAATTAACAGAATTTATTTGTGATAGTCGTGATGCGACTAGTGCCGAGAATCTGTTCTGTAGGCTGCGTTACCGGAAGTAACAGGTAACAATCACAGCAACGGAGGGGGTGATGGCAACTAGTGCCAAGAGTAATGTTGATAAAAACGATGTGTTTTCACAATTCCGGAATCTAGTTAAATATGTTTTTATGAAATGAAATTATACCCGGTGTGTAAACATACCTACATGTATTAGGTATTTTTTTCTGCTACAAGCTGAAAATATCTAATGAGAAATATCTATTATAATAAACTATGAATAACAATTATACTCATAAATTTACATAGTATATAGCAATATAAATATTATTGCAAAATTAATTTAAGTTATATATTTTATGCATTTATCATTATTTTCAAAATATTGCTCTTTTATTATAAGAAATTATCGATAATTCTGGCCAAATGATCTTATGATCTGCACAATTTTGGCCAAATTTTCACCATAATCCGTTTTTCATCATGATCTCACACATTAATTACGTAGTACCGGACCGGGTTCACACGGATCACGAATTACATAAATTGTTATATTTGCGGATTGTGATTTTGATTCAGATTGTCTTTTTTTGGGACTAAATAATACATGTACACAGATATCGATATGTTTTGTACGAGGACAACAAAAGATAACTCAAGAAAACAAAGTTTAAGATTCAACTAATGATATTCAATGCACTAGATGAATGAATCGTTGAAGTTTATCAGGTTCGGCTTATCGAGTTTTGACTATTTTATTTCTACGGACATCGAAAAGAAAATCCATAGTCAAATCCCTTTAAGACAATGAAATTTTGAAGATTTTGGTCAGCTTAGATAATTGATTCAATAATAATTTTGCACAAAAATTCTGTGAGATACTTGGAATATAAAAAATGTGATAACATGAAATTTTTTCAGATCCTTTGATTTTAAGGAAGAATTTGCAAGAAAATATAATAACTGAAAGGTGATAGATGTACCGATCCATACAATAAAGAAAAGAAAATAAAATCGGTCTAATCGAAATCTTATAGAACATTTATGAAAAAATATAACAAATGGAAATGAATTTTATAAAATTTTACAATAGAGAAATCTTTCTAAAGAAGATATATAAATTATAGATAACATTCCTCATAGAATTCAAGATTTTGATAGTGAAAGAAGGCCACAAAAAGTGCAACGTCATCCAAAATATTTTTATAATTTAATTTTGCAAATTATTTTTATTATTGTGATATTTCGAGTGTATGAACTCACGAGCCAAAAATTATTAACGTCAAGAGTTTATTTTCAATAAAGATTTAATCCCAAAAAAATAAATACAAGTATTGGAACAGTACAAGCCAAAATCTAACAATGCGCTCACACCCAAGAAAATTAGATAGTGTATTAACAAGCATAATATGATCTACGATTAACTTCATCGGCCCAATCGCGAACATGTTCAGAAACATCGTGACAATGGAGAATATTAACTTGACGTAACTGCTTAAGATGACAAAAAGGCACGGTCATAAGCGGCTGCATAACTCTCAACGTCAAAAAATCACAATTACGAAAAGTGAGAACTTCAAGATTATCGAAAATCAAGAGAGAATTCAACGGGGCGGAATCTTTGAAATTTGTGTCGGCAAATTCGATATCGAGTAATGTTGATGCACTAAGTTTCAGATTCGAGACTATTGCGTTGAGGTCTCCACCACAGCTTCGTCCAATGAATTGGTTTAGACTGTGGAATTGTCGCATTGTTGCGCCGATTGTGGCGAGATTGCGTTTTTGTGTAAAGGTTTGGATTCCTTTCATATTGAGATCGAGGCATTCCTTCAAAGAGAGAAAGAAGTGTGGTAAGTAAATATCAATGTGAATCAAATTCAATGGTTATACGAGAATGATTGGTTGTAGTAAAAGCCTACCAAATGATTCGATAATGTAGCCATGGTATATTGCTTTTGAACATTTCGATCTATCATCATATTGTCATTCCAAACCATATGACAAGATTTCACCGACGAGATCCACATTTCGAGTTCAGGATTCTGTTGAAACAACGACAAAAATTCCGGACGAGTAGTAAATCTAAAAGGTCCCGATAAACGCTCAATAGTCGCCCCATTTCGTCGCATCAATTTCAAAATAACCGTGACAATAGCTGATTCTCGATATGGCAACCTGTTTCGAACACACCACGTTTTCGCCACATAAATCATAGCTCCCACGTCGATATGCTTAGCGAAAAATGGGTAATCGTACATTGTATTTGGGGTATACATATTCATCTTTGGTATTCCTTGACTGTGTCTATTATTATTATTTAAATTACTTTTATTATTACGAAAACCGCCTGTTCCTCCGCCTCCATTCAAGAATTTTTTAAAGAATGTGTTTGAAGTTTTATGATAATGATTATTATAATAATAATTATTTTGCACAATTAATTTTCGCTCATTATAATTCAAGAACAGAAAATACGTGTCGAGAATTTTATCATGTTGTTTTGCAATCGAAGCACTTTGTCGGAAGGGATCACTCCATAATAATGGAACCACGGTCTCGCACCATTGCCAGTTCACCAAAAGACACGAGTGCAAATCTCCCGTTGAATATTCATTATTCTGACTATTATAGGGAGTGCTTTCTACCTGTAGAAAGTTTCGAAATACCTTTTCAAGAATTTCGATTGGCAATTTTGATGCCATTATTATGTTTATAGAGTGAAGAGCGAAAATATGGCAAAATAAAAATTATCACGGAATTAAAATAATTCAAAATGTAAAACCCGTTTTTTAGGTTTACCAGTGTGTACGTAAATCATAGACAAATGGTCATTATTTCAATCAAACTTTGCATTGTGTAAAGTATCGCAAAGCTTGTAAATCATTAATAAACTCGGGATTTCCATTTGTGGCCTCTTCCGGTAGAATGACAAGCTAATTTTGAATTAGATGCATCATTCAACCTCACAAAAAATATCGGTATTTATTGGTATAACATTAGCGTTAGCATTGTGAGGAAAAAAACGCCAATCGTATCTTCACGGTTCACGTTAATCAAATAATTTAGGAGTGAACATCACTAAATATTGTTCTGTTGCATGGACCAATATCATACATGCATACAGATAGTTATCTTTTTCGTTAAAAAAGGCATAAAGACACATGTATCTATCATTTACGTATCTTGTCTATTTGATGGAGAACAAAACTCGCGTCTTATAAATAAATAAATTTCTTTGAACGATTTCTCAACATAGCGACAAAGATGGACTTTATGATATCAGATCCAAATTTTTTCTTACACTAAAGCCCATCATCTAGATATTAATCGGAAGAGAGCCAAATTTACTATAGTCATTGCCATTTAATTTTAATTTCGGATCTTTACTCATTCAAAGTAAATATATGATAAAAATGAGAATTACGTATCGTGGAGCGCCATTTATCACGTAATTTTTTGGGTGGTCAGTGACTTAACGTTAATGATAATGTTTTAGGTGATACAATAGTATAAATTCCTGTCACAGGGTATCGGTAGGTAGATACGTACCCAAAAATATTATCGTTATGTGATAGATGACCCTCCTTACCAAAATCCGTATCAATATTTAAATGCACAATGAATGACAATTTAATTAACTTAGTCGACACATGACATGTGACCTAAAGCACTTATCATGCTGGTTATACGTACTATCGCTATTATTTAATTAAATTTTTATATTGAATCTGTCAAAATTGTTTTTTATTGTACAATCATGTAGAAAGGCCATCAGTCTTTCAATGTTTCAGTATTTATTACTTTCGAAGGGGCATGGTAGTTTTTACTTAGGGCAAAATGCAAAATATTCTTTTTTAAATCAAATTTATCAAAAAAATGTTGTTTCAAAAGTTTACAATAAAAAAAAGATAATTTTTAAAGTCATGTTTGAATACTCATTTCATCAAATTAAATTTACTAGTTCACAAAATTTGTTTTTATTCAATGAATTTCGAGATGAAGTTCTAAAGATAATAGACCAAATATGTGCAAATTAAAATTACGAATCTAAAAAACAAGTCAAATGACCAAATGCATGCTGTCCTCAAATAATTACGTAGGTACGCCGCTAAAAGATTTTCTGTACACAAAAATAGAAGAAAAAGGTCAATAACAATATATGAGGCTTTTAGCTAATCATTTCATCAAAAAACACAAAAGAGTACAATTGGCATATGACAAATAAAAACGTAAGCAAATCTTAACGTTAATATTTTTCCCGATTCGAAAATTCAAATATTCAGTCGACTATAATAATTCTATATTAATTCTGCAAAAATTCCAAAAAATCTGTTTTTGTTTCTTTACAAAAACAATTATGCGAGAGAATGCGAAACAGAAAATATATTTAATGCTTTCGCATCAAGAAAATATCAATATTGTTTCTATATGTAATTGCTTCTATAAATATAGCGATAATTACCATCATCCCCCCAAAAAATAGGCAATTTTTGGTTTCCCCACAAATTTATTTTATTATTGATGAAAGGAAAGAACCATGACATCATGGAATAACAATAGATGGGAAAATATTAAGAGTAAATATAATAAGGAAAGAATTGTGTAGGGAAAGCAAACTTGAAACTTTATTTTGTGATAAAACATAGATGCAAAGTGCCGCAAGTACGAGAACAATCAAGGTTTATGCACTTTCACGTTTCCTAACAATAGGATAACTTAACATGCAGATCTGCGCAACGTTATCGAATCAAAATATGTCATACTATCGCTATTGTTTGTCGACGAAAGTCTATCGCTACGCAAAGAGGTCGTTCGAAGCTTACAATTTTTTTTATAAAAAACACATGTATTTATCAGAGGGAAAAACTGTAAACACGGATAGAAAAACTGCTACGAAATACATCAAATTACCATATCGCTATCTTTATGCATTCATTTTGTATTCGTGTTTGCCCCTTATTTTTCTGCAAAGGCTTCCTTGGCCTATTAATTTAAAGGTCTTCAGAATTTGACGACCTCACCATAATGGAAATTTGCATAATTTATTGTATTCTAACAAAAAGTAAAGAAATTTCCACGACTAGCAGAAGATTTGAGGATCGACAATGAGTTTCTAATTACGGTTCAAAGATTATTCGTGATGAAATCGAATATCACCCCCCGGATAATGACAAGAAACTCATAATATACAGAAATTATCGATATCCCGCGTCAAAATACTTATTATTATATTTATTTGCACAAAATATTTGACACGCTGGATGCTCACACAATTTTTCTTATTTTCGCTTCTTTTTTCATCGATCTCGCACACAAAAAGTGACCGGCCGCTTTTTGTTTTTTTATATATTTATTTATTTTACGCACACTGCAATGACCAACAAACTTAATGTCGTTTTTCTGAAATATAATTTTTCTTTCCTAGCAATTTACGGTTAATTAAATCATACCTCCGCTTCGTTTATATAGAATACTCGTCAATTAAAAAATGTCATTTTTTAAATTTCTATCTTAACAAACAGCACGTGCACATACTTTACAATAGGGTTTTTCATTAAGTATAATTTTTCTTTCGGAATATCTTTTCATTTATTCGCTCTTCTCTATATAGCGGATACAATATTATTTCGATTAACTCCTGTTATTTTGACATTTCATTCTGCAAATACCACAAACCATAATAACTTTATTTTCGGCCAAAATTACTACATTATTTGTTTATGTATAAAAATTCGAAAAATTCGAATTATTGTTTCGTAGATATCTTCATTCGAGAAATAAATTTCGTCTCAAACTATGCAAGGCAGCGTGAAATTATCTCTGTCTATTTCGAAATGAAGGTGGTGCAGTTGATTGTGAGAAAAGTGATACTATGCCACTTAATAGGAAGTGGTTGCAGTTCACATTGACATCAAAAGAAATTTAATTGACTTTCAATACGAAATGACATGAGCTACACAAAAATGCTGAGAAACCAATTTGTAAAGCTTCGAGCTTGAAATCAGATATTGAAAATTGACAGAGTACTATATCCTATAACGAAAAGCTAATTAATATCAAACCCTTGAAATGTGTGTATAGATAGATAAGAAAGATCCGTTATAATCTAGTTCAAGTCCTAGAACCTGTAGATCCAGATACGTGAATGGGCTGACTCGGTCTTTATAAAGGTCCTGTGACCTATATAAGACTGTGATCAGAGCCAAGTCCGGACTGGACCATTAAATACTGCAACGTTCTTACCATCATTATAAACGTAAGCATTCGATGTTTATAGCACAATATGTGACATGTATCTTTTGGGGGAAGGAATCTTATATACATATAAGAGTCGCATATCTTACGTAATATTCGTCATGATCATAATGTAACCAGGTTTAGAATACAAATATAAATGTTAAAATTTTATATAGTAAATAAT